CCTCAAAGATGTGAAAAAGAGTAGACAAAAGAAGAAAAACAGAAGAGACAGGAAGATGAAGAGTTGTGGAAAACAGAAATAACAGAGGGAAAAGTGGAAAGAAGACGGAGTAGATAACAAAGGTGAAACATGATCTGAAAGAAGGGAAGGGGTTGGAAAGGAAGAAGGAAAGAAAAAGGAAGTTAAGGTAGTGACACAGAAGAGGAAGGTTGGAGGATACTGATAACCTCAGTCTAAGTAAGATGGGTGACAGGTTTTTCTGGGAAAGGCCTGTGTCTGGGTCACTATAGGTCCAGAGGGGAACCACAGTAACTAGTGGTGAGGTCAATGCCATTACTTAGCTTTTAGGACTCACTCCTATGGCAATTCCCAAGTAAGGCAAATTGGCTATGGTTTTTAACATGTGCAAAAGTAGAGCTTAATGACCCAAGCTTGGGAAGTAAATACTACTTCTCCTGGTAACTGTTATTAACATAATGGAAATAAACAAACAAAAAACACCCCCAAACAAATAGCTCAATACTCCTAGCAACTTGACAATAGGCTTTCCTAGGGAAGGCCTGTGCCTGCTATTATTCTGGTTATCCCATAGTGCTCAGTTCAGTGAAGTATAATACCCAGCAGACATTTAGTAAATAGTTGGACAGCTGGGAAATCTTAACATAAAGTATTGTTTTGGTAAGGGGGGTTCAGGGGGCACTGAAGAACATTTAATAAGTCCTCTGGTGAGACATCAGCCTCTCCTTAGTGGAGAAAAGGCTGAAGACACAATAAGACTCCTACAGTTAGGTCTTAGAGTATTTGTTATTAAAGAGGCAAGGTCTTAAGATGTGCTTTTTAACAGTCTTTACTTTGGCTGTAATTTAAGATGACTTTTACAAATTAGATCCTAATCCTTGCAGACACAGATGGCTGTTACAGAATAGCCTTGCAAAAACACTAGTCATTTGACTTGAAAGAGCATTCAAAGAATGATGAAGAGCTATTAACTCTTACCCCACCTCTGGGTTGGAGAGGCCTAAAAATTCCTGGGTGGGCTTTCTGACTTTAGGACTGGAATCTGGGTGGGTCTGGTCATTTGTTGTGATTTGGAACAGCCTCTGTCCTTCACTGCGGAACTAGAGATTTAGGGGAGCCTGAGGTCACTAACATTTGACAATAGTTCCTGAATGCTTATATATGAGGTACCACAGCAGGAACTGCAGAGGATATAGATTTGAACATGATATGGGCTGCCTCTGTAAATCATTACAGAACAACAGAACAAGAGAGGAGTGCACAAACTATAATGGTATATTGGTGGGGAGCTTGGGAGAAGCCCATAGAAAGGTGACTTCTGAGCTAGGCATTAAAAGATAGTTCAAACAGGCCAGGGACATGGAGGCATGAGAATCTGTGTCATTAGTGAATAATGAGCAATCTCCTATCTCCTGCTGATAAAAATAAAAGAGGCAGGATATAAGAAAGGCACAAATGGAACAGACTGTAAATCTTTCAAAAAACATTCTAAGGGGTCTGTACTTATTCTAGGCTAGTAGGGGCTATTAAAAAGTTTTAAGCAAGAGAAGAAATTATCAGAGTTGGGTTTTTGAAAAAATAACTGTGGCAGATGATTTCAGGTTGACCAAGGACCATAAAATGGACTTGTGATTAGTTTTGGGAGACTCCTGATTTCTCTGACAGGTGGTTTGGTTTTTTTCTTTGGGCAACAAAGGCAAACTTGATTTAAATTTGCCTTGGAATAGGGACCAAGGTAGAAATGGAGTCAGGAGTGAAAGAGATGTTAGGAGAAGAGAATGTTAGCCACACTGAATAGTTTTCTTCAGCAATGTAAAACAAAGGATCAGTGATGAAAAGCCAAATCAGGAGTAGATTTTCTCTAAGACTACATGATGGGCTTTCTACTTAGGGCTTGTCCAGTAATGACATAACAGTCTGCATTGAAAAGGCTGAAAAGTTGGTTACTAGAACTCAAAGTAGGCAAGTGGCAGATGCAAGAATCCTCTGCATTTCATTTTAGTTTAAAGTAGCCCCCAAAATACCCACCATAAATGAACTTCTCCAGGGACCCCTACCATAATTAAGCTTCTTGTCAGCAAGATTTTACAGAGTATCAATGGGATTTCACAGGATTTCAGCTGAAAGCTCATTGTGGTTTGAAGATTCCTTTTTTTTTTTTTTTTTTTGTGAATGCCAGGTTTGCATACAAAAGGTGTGATAGACTCTATCTCAACAGTTTGCTGTGTAAAAGTTACTGATTCTGTTTTCCATAGTCAAAATTTGTGAAACCTCTGTCTGACCTAAGAATGTGGAACAAAAAGTAACGATTATGAACCCACCCACTGTTGTGTTTCCATCTCACTGAGTATAAATCTGGGGTCCAAAAGATTTTTGAGGCATTAGTCCCTCTGGTCAGCTGCAGCTTAAATAAACCTGCTTCCTGAAAATTCCTTGGATGTCCAGCCTCATCTATCCTACATCAAGTTCTTCTGCTTCTTTTCAAAAGCAACTTTTTAGTCTACATTTTTTTTTACCCTGTTAGAAGAGGTTGTTAACACTGAAGAGAAAATCTATCATTTAAAAAATTTTTTTCTCTTCCACCCATCTATAATCAGATTTAATTTTGTTTCAAATTAATTTTAAAGACCAGGAAGGTCCTTATTTCTTTCACTTTACTTCTTTTACTACCTTCATTTTACAGATAAGGCCTAGAAGGGGAGTGACTTAAAACCAGTGATTAGGAAGGATTCATTTAGGTTTTAAGTTAGTCAGCTCTCCAAGATGAGATGTTCATTGCAGAACATAAAGTAAAGAGAAACAGGCTGATCTTGAACCCCCTGATAATGGCTCTTTTCTAAATATTCAGACACTGAGGGGCTGGGGTTGTGGCTCAGTGGTAGAGTGCTTGCCTAGCATGTGTGGGGCCTGGGTTCAATCCTTAGCACCACATAAAAACAAATAAAGGTATTGTGCCCAACTACAACTAAAAAAATAAATAAATAAACAAATACTCAGTTACTGAGAGTTCAATTTCAGTGACAGAATTTAACCCATTTTGCCCCATTGTTCCAGATGTAGAACTATAAAAAAATAAGATAATTATATTATGATGGAATAATTATAATATTAACACATGTAATCATATATAAAAGCTCTAAATTATGATTCAAACACTTTAAAAAAATTTTTTAGAGTTGTAGATGGACAGAATGCCTTTATTTTATTTGTTATGCAGTGCTGAGGATGGAACCCAGTGCCTCACATGTGTTAGGCAAGCACTCTGCAACTAAGCAACAACCCTAGCCCTACAAACTATTTTAATGCAACTGTGTCAATATTCTCAGAATTGAATATTTGGAACTTAATAGGTTAAGGTAGTTTCTTACCTGACTGTGTGGTAAGAGCATGTGCATTCCTTATCTTGTGCATGTTTGTGTGCTTTATATATGAATAAGGGGAAAAAGGCTCAGAGTAGTAGGAAGGGCACTGAGAAAAGGACCAATGGCTACAACCACCTGGAGTCCACAATACGCTCCTGGACTCAGATGTAAGCAGAATACTCATTCTACCCAGAGGGGATTTATGGCTGGCTGGTAGAGCTACACATATACCATTCATTTCTGATTCTGTCCTGCAAATCTAATAGTCAATATGAGGGACCTGGATAAGTCTTAACCAAATACTTAGTTTTGGTACGTTAGATGAAGTCCAGGTTACTAGACTTAGATGATAATGGAATCACAGAACATTAAACTATGTCTTATAGTTGAGCTAGTCCAATTCCATGTAAAGCAGAAACACTAGGAATGGATCCCTCTCCATACATACATATCTGTATTGTGGAAAAGAGTACTAATTGTTATCTCCAAAGATAGAAAAACTTCTTTACAACACAAGATATTCCTTTCTTAGAAAGTGCCCAAATGTATCTCCTTGTAACTTTCAATATATTGATCCCAGTTCTACCCTAAAGCCTGAAAAAGTAAGAAACCTCTTTTATATGGCAAGCCTTCAAGTAGTTGAAGACAACAACAATGTCTTCCATGCCCTTTCCTTCTCTAGAGGATATATTCCTCAGATGACATGATTTTCAGTTCTTTCTGCTTCCTAACAGCCCTGCTCTGCATTCTGGAAGCTTCATTTTGTCCACTGTTTGATATTTTAAGGTTTTCTTGCATCTTATTATTCATTATCCACAAATCAGAGAAAGTCTTTGTACAGATGTTGATATATATGGTAAGTAATAAAGAACTAAATAAAGAGCTTCTTGGTTTCCACTAGGGAGATAGCAATCAACATTTCTGGAGATAACCATTTATTCAGCAATGAATACATCTAACTGTAGATCTCTCTCTCTCTCTCTACCTTGTCCCTGAATACTATGAAACATTATCAAATACTTTTGTTGAAATACAGATACACAGTAAATATGGTCATCATACTTGTCTTTCCAGGCTAGTAAAACTATGGTGCATGCTTGTAATCCTAGTGATTGGGAGGCTCAACCATGAGAATTGCAAGTTTGAGGTCAGCCTCATCAACTTAGTGAGATCTCATTTCAAAATAAAAAATAAAAAGGACTGTAGATGTAGCTCAGTGGTAAAGCCCCCTCAGTTCAATCTCTAGTACTGCAAAACAAAACAAAAATCTCTCACATCAAACCAAAACTTTGATCCTGATCTAACAATTAGGCTATTAAGCACAATTTTTAGGTATACTCTGAGGCAAAAAATAAAAGCCTATATGAGTGGTGGAATAGTGGAAACAGCTAGATAGTAAAGAAAAGAATTTCTTACATGGGTTCCTGGCTATATGTTTGCTGGCCTGGTAAGCCTTACCTTCTTCAAAAGATGAGGAGAGAATGATGTGCAGAACAAAGAGACTTTGGGTGTCTTTTAGAAGACTACCATTTGATCTTTTTTTTGGACTACTTTTCCTAGCCACAATGATGGGATATCTCCTATGTGGCCACACTGCCTATGATGGGAAAGGCAACTTACATCTCTCCTAGGAAAGGTGCTCAGTAACTTGAATTCATCCCATGGAAATCCTTTAGAAGCAACGAAATCAAAGACAATCTGGAGCTTATTGCTGGCCAGGAAACGCCTCTCTAGGAACTCGCCACTGGGGGTACGGATCCGCAGTTTGCTCACAGGCTCAGCATTTTCTTCCTTTGGTTCTGGAGGCAGGGCTTGCTCTAAGGAGAGTCTGATGGCCTAAGTAGAGGAAAAAAACCAGATGTTAAAATGTAAGATAGATGGGCTGTAGGGAGTGGGAGAAACTAGAAAACAGCTGCTGCTTTCTAGGAACTCATCAAAAAGTCACTGCTCCATTTATTAAGCAACACTAATGCTTGAACAATAAAATCAGGTGTTTTTAAATTTTCTTAATATTAATAAAGACAATTCATTAAACTATATCCCACCTTGAAGACATGTTTTATTAAACCAATAGGTAACTACTTCAAAAATAAGGGCTTTTTTTTTTCCCCTCTAAACTGAAGAACTCAGACATTTGTGATTGAGGAAACAGATATCAAATACCCAGATGCTTTTTAGGTATAAATGAGGGTATTAGAAGCATTCACAAAAGACACACATGTGCATGCACACACACATTCATATTTAAGAAAACTCATTGACTAATTAGAAACAATCAAAGAATCAACAAAATATTGGAATATGTGTGTGTGTGTGTATGCTTGTGTGTGCGTGTGCGTGTATGCACACACACACACACACATACATTTTTTTGGTACCGGGGAATGAACCCAGAGGCGCTTTACCATGGTACTACATTCCTAGCCCTTTTTATTTTATTATTTATTTTGAAACAGGGTCTAAGTTGCCTCACTGGCCTCAAACTTGTGATCGTGCCTCAGCTTCCCAAATTGCTGAGATTACAGATGTGCGTCATAACGCCCAGCCTGGATAACATGTTAATGACAAAATTGAATGGAAACATTCTGTTTGGAGTGATGAATTATACTTAAATTGGCAAATTTCTCTATATGTTCTGCCACAGGGAACGTTTAAAAACAAAGTGGAATAAAAAGAGATTCAAATATCAGGTTTATTGGAGGTAGGAAACCACAGCCCTCATTCCACCTCTGCCATTAACTTGATAAGGGGTCTGGACCTATAGATAAACTAATCCCTTTACTTTATAGAAGACAAAACAGACTCAAACATGTAGGATAAACTGTTGAGATCTCATGGTTAGAGTTGGCCTTGAATCCATGTTTCCTAGTTCTAAATCTAGAGTATTGTATTTTCTTTTTTTCCATATTCATGATATTCCACCAGAAGATCAGAAGAACTCTTAGGTACCCGCCCAAACTGGAATTTGTAGCAGAAATTCACAAAAAACTTTTAATGTCCCTAGCGCCACGAAAGTTTCCTTAGATAAGTAAGCCTGGTAATCATGCTCTGCTTCACAGCTACATTCTGTTCTTTCTTGGATAGTTTAACATTTGTATTACCAAATAATCATTAATAGAAGGAATTCCTCCCCCTCAATTAAACTACAACTATCATAATCACAAGATGTGTGAGAAACTGGGACTTATAGTCTTTAAAATCTCAACAGTCATTTTCAAATGTGATGTCACCCTTACAGCTGGGGAAAAACACCAATCTTTTTCTTTTTTTTTTTTATATTTTTAATTTTTTATTGTGGGTTGTTCAAAACATTACAAATTTCTTGACATATCATATTCCACACTTTGATTCAAGTGGGTTATGAACTCCTACCTTCACCCCATACACAGATTGCAGAATCACATCAGTTACACATCCATTGATTTACATATTGCCATACTAGTGTCTGTTGTGCTCCGCTGCCTTTCCCATCCTCCACCCTCCCCCCTCCCCACCTCTCCCCTCCCCTCCCCTCCTCTCTCTCTACCTCCTCCACTGTATAACCCTGAGGGTCTCCTTCCATTACCATGCAATTTCCCTTCTCTCTCCCTTTCCCTCCCACCTCTCATCCCTGTTAAATGTTAATCTTCTTCTCCTGCTCTTCGTCCCTACTCTGATCTTAGTTACTCTCGTTATATCAAAGAATACATTTGGCATTTGTTTTTTAGGGATTGGCTAGCTTCACTTAGCACAATCTGCTCTAATGCCATCCATTTCCCTGTAAATTCTATGATTTTGTCATTTTTAAATGCAGAGTAATACTCCATCGTGTATAAATGCCACGTTTTTTTTATCCATTTGTCTATTGAAGGGCATCTAGGTTGGTTCCACAGTCTTGCTATTGTGAACTGTGCTGCTATGAACATCGATGTAGCAGTGTCCCTGTAGCATGCTCTTTTTAGGTCTTTAGGGAATAGACCAAGAAGGGGAATAGCTGGGTCAAATGGTGGCTCCATTCTCAGCTTTCCAAGAAATCTCCATACTGCTTTCCAAATTGGCTGCACCAATTTGCAGTCCCACCAGCAATGAACAAGTGTACCCTTTTCCCCACATCCTCGCCAGCACTTGTTGTTGTTTGACTTCCTAATGGCTGCCAATGTTACTGGAGTGAGATGGTATCTTAGGGTGGTTTTGATTTGCATTTCTCTGACAGCTAGAGATGGTGAGCATTTTTTCATGTACTTGTTGATTGACTGTATGTCCTCCTCTGAGAAGTGTCTGTTCAGGTCCTTGGCCCATTTGTTGATTGGGTTGTTTGTTCTCTTATTGTCTAATTTTTTGAGTTCTTTGTATACTCTGGATATTAGGGCTCTATCTGAAGTGTGAGGAGTAAAGATTTGTTCCCAGGGTGTAGGCTCCCTATTTACCTCTCTTATTGTTTCTTTTGCTGAGAAAAAACTTTTTAGTTTGAGTAAGTCCCATTTGTTGATTCTAGTTATTAACTTTTGTGCTATGGGTGTCCTATTGAGGAATTTGGAGCCCGACCCCACCGACTGTAGATCGTAGCCAACTTTTTCTTCTATCAGACGGCACGTCTCTGATTTGATATCAAGCTCCTTGATCCATTTTGAATTCACTTTTGTGCATGGCGAGAGAAAGGGATTCAGTTTCATTTTGTTGCATATGGATTTCCAGTTTTCCCAGCACCATTTGTTGAAGATGCTATCCTTCCTCCATTGCATGCTTTTAGCCCCTTTATCAAATATAAGATAGTTGTAGTTTTGTGGATTGGTTTCTGTGTCCTCTATTCTGTACCATTGGTCCACCCGCCTGTTTTGGTACCAGTACCATGCTGTTTTTGTTACTATTGCTCTGTAGTATAGTTTGAAGTCTGGTATCGCTATACCGCCAGATTCACACTTCCTGCTTAGCATTGTTTTTGCTATTCTGGGTCTTTTATTTTTCCATATGAATTTCATGATTGCTTTCTCTATTTCTACAAGAAATGCCGTTGGGATTTTGATTGGCTTTGCATTAAACCTATAGAGAACTTTTGGTAATATCGCCATTTTGATGATGTTAGTTCTGCCTATCCATGAACAGGGTATATTTTTCCATCTTCTAAGATCTTCTTCTATTTCTCTCTTTAGGGTTCTGTAGTTTTCATTGTATAAGTCTTTCACCTCTTTTGTTAGGTTGATTCCCAAGTATTTTATTTTTTTTGAAGATATTTTGAATGGAGTGGTTGTCCTCACTTCCATTTCAGAGGATTTGTCGCTGATATACAGGAATGCCTTTGATTTATGCATGTTGATTTTATATCCTGCCACTTTGCTGAATTCATTTATTAGCTCTAATAGTTTCTTTGTAGAGCCTTTTGGGTCTGCTAGGTACAGAATCATATCATCTGCAAATAGTGATAATTTAAGTTCTTCTTTTCCTATTTGTATGCCTTTAATTTCTTTTGTCTGTCTAATTGCTCTGGCCAGTGTTTCGAGAATTATGTTGAACAGAAGTGGAGAGAGAGGGCATCCCTGTCTTGTTCCAGATTTTAGAGGGAATGCCTTCAGTTTTTCTCCATTCAGAATGATGCTAGCCTGAGGCTTAGCATAGATTGCTTTTACAATATTGAGGTATGTTGCTGTTATCCCTAGTTTTTCTAGAGTTTTGAACATAAAGGGATGCTGTACTTTGTCGAATGCTTTTTCCGCATCTATCGAGATGATCATATGGTTCTTATTTTTAAGTCTATTGATGTGGTGAATAACATTTATTGATTTCCGTATATTGAACCAGCCTTGCATCCCAGGGATGAATCCTACTTGATCATGGTGCACAATCTTTTTGATGTTTTTGTATCCGATTCACCAGAATTTTATTGAGGATTTTTGCATCTAGGTTCATTAGAGATATTGGTCTGTAGTTTTCTTTCTTTGAAGTGTCTTTGTCTGGTTTAGGTATCAGGGTGATGTTGGCCTCATAGAATGAATTTGGAAGTTCTCCCTCTTTTTCTATTTCCTGAAGTAGCTTGAAAAGTATTGGTATTAGTTCCTCTTTAAAGATTTTGTAAAACTCTGCTGTATACCCATCCGGTCCTGGGCTTTTCTTAGTTGGTAGTCTTTTGATGGTTTCTTCTATTTCCTCAATTGATATTGGTCTGTTTAGGTTGTCTATATCCTCCTGACTCAATCTGGGAAGATCATATGACTTAAGAAATTTATCAATGCCTTCACTATCTTCTAATTTATTGGAGTATAAGGATTCAAAATAGTTTTTGATTATCTTCTGTATTTCTGAAGTCTCTGTTGTGATATTGCCTTTTTCATCCCGTATGCTAGTAATTTGAGTTCTCTCTCTTCTTCTCTTCGCTAGCATCGCTAAGGGTCTGTCGATTTTGTTTATTTTTTCAAAGAACCAACTTTTAGTTTTGTCAATTTTTTCAACTGTTTCTTTTGTTTCGATTTCATTAATTTCAGCTCTGATTTTAATTATTTCTTGCCTTCTACTTCTTTTGCTGTTGTTTTGCTCTTCTTTTTCAAGGATTTTGAGATGAAGTATGAGATCATTTATTTGTTGGTTTTTTCTTTTTTTAAGGAATGAACTCCAAGCAATGAATTTTCCTCTTAGAACTGCTTTCAATGTGTCCCATAGATTCCGATATGTTGTGTCTGTGTTTTCATTTATCTCTAAGAATTTTTTAATTTCCTCCTTGATGTCTTCTATAACCCATTGATCATTCAGTAACCTATTGTTCATTCTCCAAGTGATGTATGCTTTTTCCTTCCTTCTTTTATCGTTGATTTTCAGTTTCATTCCATTATGATCAGATAAGATGCATGGTATTATCTCTACTCCTT